CCCGGCCAAAAGGCGAGGCTGTGCGGGTTGAGCGCCCAGGGAGAAGGGCAGAAGAGGGGGGGGGCGGGGGAAGGGAGAGGCACCGCCCCTTCCCACGGCCTCTGCCAACCGCTGCGTCGACTGCAATGGGCCACGGAGGTTCCGCTTCAGACCCCCTCTGCTCCCCCTCAGGTCTGCCCGGCTTTCTCTGTGCCCAGCAAACTCTCTCCTTCAGCCTGCCCAGCACTGTGCCCCCCACCCCCAGTGGCTGCCCCATCTGGTCCTCCCAGCCAAGGAAAGAAGGAGGAGCCCCCTCGTGCAGCTGCCCCCTCTTCCCTTCACGGCCCATGGCGCAACTGTAGGTCCTCTGCCCTAAATGTCGAAAGGTCCCTGCAGGACAGGAGAGGACAGGACTGGGAGGGGGGCTGTCCAGCGAGCTGCCCCAGGCCGCTGGCGGTGTCCTCTGCTATGAAATGGGCCGGGAAATGCCAGAAGGTGGCGGGGGTATGGATGTGGCAAGAGGCGGTGCGGTCTACCAGGCCTATCAAATGTATAGGACCTCAAAGGTCATCCAGTCCAACCCCCCTGCACCCTGCAGGATTCCCTACGCCATCCCCAAGAGAGGACTATCCACCCTCTGTTTGAAAACCTCCAGTGAAGGGGAAGAAACCATTTTCATTGCCCTTCCCAGCAGCACTAGGGCTGTCTCCCTGCCAACTAATTCTAGTCACATTATTGGTTTGCAACTGGCCCCAATGAATCAGACCCAAAGAAGGGGGTAGGCAGGGGCGTCCACAGTTAAACGGCAGCCGCAACGGGGCAGTCAAAACTCCACCTGTTTTTTATTGCTTCTGGTGGGGGGATCTAGAAGATTTAGAAGCAGACAATATTCCAGCAGGTTCCAGGTTTCATGTTTGTGTAATTCCATCATTCGCTACCCGCAAGACGTGGTGGTGGCCAGTATCTGGAATGACCTTCAACAGGGGGTTCAGGTCTACCCTATCAGCCCTGAAGACTCAGGGCTGCTTCCAGGTTGGGCGCAGGTGCCTCCAAATCTCACTTGCAGGGGAACACCAGCAGGAGAGGGGGGCATCTCCTTCTCCTGATGTTATGCCCCTTGGAGGCATCTGGCTGGTTGCTGGGAGGAAGAAACAATCGGACCAGGGTAGCCCTTGGATGGATCCAGCAGGGCTCTTTTTATGTTTTATGCGAAGCAGTGTGAAAATCTTGCAAACTCCACAAAGGAAATGCAACCCCCCCCTCTTGTTTTACAGGTGTTGGAGCCCCGGTTTCACCGAAAAGCTCAAATGGGTGAAAATGGGAACTGGATTCAGAAATATTATATCCTCCCCCAAGCCATCCATTCCTCCAATGCTTTGTCCCACAGGCTGCTCCTAATCAATAACGCTCTGCCAGCCCCCAATCTGGCTCACCTTGCACGTGCCTGTGGGCGGCCGGTGGGCACCCAAGCAGATGTGCACCGCATCTTCCCCGCCTGTCTCAGTAGCCTGGAACTGAACGCTTCATTGACTGTACAGTGGAGTGCTGGGCAGGATCTGCCCCCCCCAACTCCCCTCCATCTGTCCTTGGTGACAAAGGAGGAGGGGAAGGTACGGAGGTGCCCTCCTCCTCTGAAGCTGCCCGTCCTGCTGGCTTCTACCAGATAGAAATATGCAGCCCCCCCAACGCAGGCGAGACGCGGAGGGCTGGCGCAGGGTTTGGCACCCCTCTGTCTGAGGGCTTCCTCAGTCTAAGCCAGCCTTGGCCTCCAGATGCAGCAGCCGCACCCCGCTGGAGATGCCGTTCTAGCACATCTGGTGGGAGCCTGGCTGGGCGAGACGGGTGTAAGGAAATTCCAGGGGCCTTGTCCTTCCCTCTGTGTAACAAAGGGATGGGTTGAATCTAGGGCAGGGTTTCTCAACCTTGGCGACTTGAAGGCCTGTGGACTTCAACTCCCAGAATTCCCCA